GAAACAATGAAACGAAATTAAATAAGGCAGCAGAGGTTATGAATTTGAGATCTATATTAAACTGGCCGACTGTGAACATAAACCAAGGAGGGTGAGATGAACGATGAACGGGAATTACATAGATTAACCACTAGGGTCTCGATTTTGAGCAAATAGTTTGGCATAGGATTTATACTTTCTGCTCCTTCTTCTTTTCAATCACGGTCTTTTTGCAAGACGGTGTAATCATAACTTTTACTTTACGCCTCTGCTTCACTCTAAATTATAAGCCTTCCTGATGAATCCAGCAATCGGCCTTAAATTTACAGCATTTTGGCCCAAAACTTAATCATCTAGAATAGTTAAAGGTGATACCACGAATATCCATAATGATTAGGTGTTGACAGAACATAATCACCTGGGTCCTGGATCACCTAAGTCGGCTGATATTTAGAGACGAATCGCGTTGGCCACAGCACTTTGTGTTGTCATAGCGCATGAAGTTTCGTCACTCGCTTTTGCCACCGGTAGTGCTGAATGTGACCTGGAGAGTTTCGTATAGACGGATCCCCTCATTCCGTCTGGATATCGAAGCTGTCGCTTCTGGTCTTTAACAAACCGACATCTAACCACAAGGCAGCGGTGGCACTAGCAGCTTTTCTTTCAAACGGTCGGATCGCTTTCACCTCGTTATGAGACTGTCATTAACCGTAGGGACTTTCCAAGAAACGCACTTCTCTAGGTCGAACCCAGTCATGCCCTGGTGATCTTACCGCTGCCTTTTCGCGATTGCGCATTTGTCGCAGCTAATCCCCATATCTGGAGGTCGTTCCCTTAAGCCGGCGACGCGAGGGGCAGTGGACATGGTGAACAAAACCTAACAGACCTATTAAGAAGTTATTTTGCTCACGACGGGAAGAATGTCTTTCAGAGTTAAATATAGGGCTGAATTTTTGCTCACACTGAAAGATAATCAAGGAAAAGATGTTCCTTGGCAACATGGCATCACTGGATGTCACTGGCCTTTTAACAACATGGATACCAATACAAAATGTTGAAATTTTACTCATCATCCTGAAGGACGCATCCGACACGTGGAATAAATCAGGCAGCACGTTTACAGACTACAGCGATCGCACATACATGCGCTGGGAGCACGCAACGCCGTTTTCCCTCAGAGATTCCACCACTGTTCTAAGTGTTCCTAAAGAGTATTCGAGAGAGACGCTTGACAAAAAGCTTTTGCGCCCCAGCTCTTAGTTAATGAGGTTTCCCCAAAGTAGATCGATGGTAATTCTGCCATATACAGCCAAGATATCTGATAAATTTAATTAGCTGATATTCGAAACCCAGCAGGGGTGTTCGACATCTTATATATGCTTGACTGTGATAAGATATACGTTGCGAAGATCTACCGGATCTTGAGCATCTGGATTAAGCGACACTTGTCTGCGATCCGCCTAGGGCAGGCCGACAACGCCAATGTTGTCCAACACGCTATTTATGAAGGACACTCCTTCAGTCAGGCAAGCGTGCCTGTAACCGACAGAGACCATTCACGAGTTGTTTTCCTGACAATCAAGTTATTTTTCCATATGCTTGCCTACGAATGTGACAGATTTAGTTCGTACTCTAACACGCCTTTGTTCAGCCCAGTTCGGTGATCGGTCCTGCATCCAGTGTACTGCAGGTGCTCAAGTACCACGGAACCGTGGCCTGCTTAAATGATCCCCGTAGGCAACCAGATGTAGGGGCAGTGTGCTTACGCTGAATTAATCCAGTATCACATATTTGAAATGTGAAATAGTTAATTGTTAAACTTATTTTAGGGTAAACGTGGAAAAGAGGGAGCTCGAGGACCAGGTGGAACGAAGGGAATCACAGGTGATGCAGGACAACCTGGAACAGATGGAAGACCGGGTTTGAAAGGGGAACGTGGTGACGTTGGTTTTCCTGGTCGTGATGGCTTACAAGGTGACGCAGGGCCAC